GTGGGTAGGGTCCGGATCTCTGGGGGTAGCTCATTCCATAGGGCCGGAGCGGCAACAGAGAAGGCCCTACTCCGAGGCGTCGCCAGCCGGCATTGGCCAGCTGAAGGCACCCGGAGAAGGCCTATCTCTTCCATTCCTCCATTCCACTTTATTCTATTCTGTTGTATTCTATTCTATTCTATTCTATTTTAAACCTACCCTGTATTATGTTAATCAGCATTCAACCAGGGAACATTCTACGTTTATATGTTTTAGTCTTTTTCCTAAGACACTTTTTTTTCATTTCAGTGTATTTTTGTTGTGTTATTTTCTTCTTTTGTTTTTTTTAAAAATACGCTGGTGTTTTGTCTTTGAACTTCTTTCGAATAAACTGAAAAGAGAGGGAACTTGCCTGTAGAAAGGAATTAATGTTCAGGGGCAGCGCCTCGCTGACTTCTGACCATTCACAACTTGTTTGTTTATTTGTTTGTTTATTGGATTCATATGCCGCCCTTCTCCCAAAGGACTCAGGGCGGCGTACAACATAAAAAATACACATATTACAAAAGTTAAACAGGAAATTAGATAGAGTATCCAAAAACAAACCCAATTAATATTAACAAAACATTTTAAAAAATTAGATTAAAATTAACAATTTAATTAAACTTCGGGGCGCCGGTCTCGCCTTCCTTCTAACCTCTCCTTCTTTCACTTCTGCAGTTCCGCCATCACTTCCTGTTACAGCCGCGTGTATTAGAGTTTGGAGGATTTGATTCGATGGTCCGATCAAGTGATGCTCGAAGGCATCAATGTGGAAGACAAAGAAGTGGTGAATACAGTTAAGGGAGTCATCAAGGCAGTTCTGGATGGCGTTAAGGTATGGGTGCGTCCCATGAACCCTTTGTAGAGTGACTCTCTCCTTGAGTGTGTAAGGACCAGCAAAAGGCGATCAAGAGATGGGAGGCTAAATTGTATGATGAATGGGTGGGGGCGCACAGAGGCCAGAAACAGGGTGCGCAAAGGCCAAAAATGGGATGTGGAGGCCGAAAATGGGGCGTGTGGAGGTGGCGATAGGCAATGGCAATCCCTGCAGCCTGAAACAGCTGATCGTTGGGAAGCCGATCCAACCGATAATCAGCTGCTTGTACTAACAAGGCTGCTGAAACTGAAACAGGCTGTTTGCTTTTTGCTGCAAGGAGGCAAATTGTTGGGAGGCAGAGGTCAAAGGGTGGGAGCTGGCTACATTTGGTGTATAAGACACACACCAATTTTTCACCCTCTTTTAGAGGGGGGGGAGTGCAACTTATACTCCAAAAAATACAGTATATATATATTTTTTTCTTGTGTTCTGATGATAACCAGGAGCTGGTGAAGCTGACAATTGAGAAGCAGGAACACCCATCTCCCACCAGCCCAGTCAAGCCCACCTTACCTGTGCCTGCAACAGACAGGTGAGTAGCCATGGATTTCTGATGGACCCATTCTAAGATGGGTTGTCCCTTGTGGCCCCCGTGATTGACAGCACAAATGGAAGTGATACAGAAATAAAAAGGAGGGAAGGAGGCATGAATCTGAAGTGCCTGGCAATTAGCTCTCTATTTTCTTATTTCCTTTTATATCTGTCTGTTTCTATGTCTATTATCCATCTATCCATCCATCTATCGTGTCTATTGATCTAGCAATATCTCCTCTACCTACCCTCCATTTATATCATCTCTCTTTCTGTCCCTATACCTTATCTGCTTAATCTGTTATCCATCCATCTAATTATCATCCAGTTATCCCTCCAAGTATTCTTGTCCTCTGTCCATCCAGCCAGCCACCCACCCACCCATATTTATTTATTTATCTGTTTATCTATCCATGTCTTCTAGCTCTCTTTTTCAATCTCTCCACCCATCCATCTATGGCTTTTAGCTCTATCTCTCTTCTATCTCTCCATCATCTATCTCTCCATCTGTTCATATCCCCTCTCCATCCATGCATCCTTCCACATGTCCTTTGTTGCATGCTCTCTCTTTCTCTTCTATCATCCTTTCAAGTGTGCACTTTGTCTCTTTTATCCATCCATCCATCCATCCATGTCTTCTAGTGTATGCACTCTTTCTTCTACATCTCCCTCCCTCCATCTAACTATCACCATCTATCCAGCCATTCTTTTATGTATCTATCATGTCTTCTGTCACATGCTCCCCCTTCCTTCCTTCCTTCCTTCCTTCCTTCCTTCCTTCCTGGCATACAGCTCTCGTCCCCCTCTCTGCCTCCGACACAGAGCCCTCATCAGAGCCTTCCCCAGACTCCAGGATTGGCCCATGTTCCTCCCCAACTTCCCCACTGTCCAAATATGTTGTGTACCACAACCCTTCCTTCCTCCCTCCCTCCCTCCCTCCCTTCATTCCTTCCTTCCTTCCTTTCTTCCTTCCTGCATACAGCCCTGGCCCCCTCTCTGCCTCCGACACATAGACCTCATCAGATTCTTCCCCAGACCCCAGGACTGGCCCATGTTCCTCCCCAACTTCCCCACTGTCCAAATCTATTGTGCACCACAACACTTCCTTCCTTCCCTCCCTCCCTCCCTCCTTCCTTTCTTCCCTCCCTCCCTCCCTCCTTCCCCCAACTGATCCATCTTTCTATCTATGTACCAACCAAGTCCCATGTCCAAAGAGGCGACCCCCTAAATGAACAAACTGAAACAAGAGGTTCAGAAAAGCTGAAGTCTTTTGCATGAGTTGGGACAATGTGCAACCTTGCCTAAAGAAGGACGGGGCCCACAGCAGTTTCCCTGGCTGGCTGGGCGCCACAAGGGCTGCATCAAACAGGATGCCATTTGCGCCATGTACGACCCGCGTCTCAATCGCGTCCCTCCCCTCTGCAGCCAGTTGGAGCTCCCCTTGACGGATCGCGAGATGGAGATCCTCAACAAGACGGCCGGGTTGACACCCACCGCAGAAGTGTTGGCAGACGCCACAGACGAAGAGGTCGCCCCGCCGAAACCGCCCCTTCCTTGCATCCGGGTGGCTGAAAACAGCCCTCCGCCAGCCTTGCCCCCTAAAAAACGCCAGTCAGCCCCTCCCCTACGCGAGTGGCTATCGTGGCCCCCATTAGCCGAACAACCAGTGGTTCCAGTTTACCCATTGGGATCAACAAACAGGAATTTGAAAATGATTGCTCCCCCAGCGGAGACTCCCGGGGGGGCAGCCAGTCCTACGGAGGGGAATCTCCCCGCCTCTCGCCCTACAGCAGCATGGGGAAGCTGAGCAAATCGGACGAACAGCTGTCCTCGCTGGATTGCGACAGCGGGCAGTGCTCGCACAACACAAG